CTATCACGGTACCACGATTGAATTCACTGAGCTCCTGAGAGCGACCCATTCTTTCACAAATGTTTGTAGAAGCAGTCTGCATGCCTAGGTGCTTGATTCTATACATCTGTGGCCACAGAGGTGATTGGAACACCTGAATCCAATGACTTGGAGGACTGTCCCAATACTTTAGGCAAGATAGTGTGCTTATGTGTATATATACTATATGTATGTAATGTATGTATATATGTGTGTGTGTATATATATATATATATATATATATATATATATAGTTTACTTTTGCATTTAATACCACTTTAAAGAAAATCTATTTTGCCCCTTCAGGTTTCATTGAAAAAAAATACATTGGTCTTCACCCTTACTTACTGAGGAAAAGCACACTCTCGGGTGAATGTGCCCTTTAGGTCTAAACAATGCATGTTAAAAACAGAAGGTTTGAGGGGGTCTGAATACTTTATGTATGCACTATATATTATAAAAGGGCCAGGCTCAACTAGTTGAGACTGCCGTAAACCACACACAAGGTACACAGGATCTGTCCAAGCAGGTTTGTCCTGCACTTTTATTCAGCAAGGCGGGAAATAAATGCAGTTTAGCATAAAGCTAACAAAACCTGTCAGAGCCAACAACTACAATTCCTGTCAGTTCTTGACTAACTAAACTAATGGGTTTCCTAGAACAAACAGGCAGTTCTGGTAACTTTTTTTGTGTTCTGTCAGCAGTCGGCCTTTTCACTGAGCAGCTGGATTCTACAGCAGAGAGCATCTAGCATCAGTCAGCTCACATGTACATAGGCTGTGGATCGCCGTGGTAGTTCATTGAGAACTGCGAACCGACAGCCGCAAAGGCTGTCTGGACTTGTAGTTAATTCACTCACAGATTGCCGTAAATGAATGATAAGGCCAGGTGGGCGGAACCCCCCACGGCCACTTCTTTTTTAAAATTGTGACAGCTAGCGCGGAGGAGAAGATCCCCTGCTAGCTGTCACAACATGGAGTGGGGACCAGTCCATTCTGAACATGTTACATCTTATCCTCTTAATATGGGTGTAACATGTTACGAAAGGTGAACTTATCCTTTAATTTCCTATGATCATCAGCTCCATATAGTAGCTGCAGTATTTTTTCAAAATACCTCAATCAGGACCGCACCATATTATGACCACTAGATGGCGCTGCCAATTGCATGAAATAAACGCATTAGGCAAATAATGGGGATTATTCAGACAGCCATGTGAACACTTTGGACCAAACTTTATAAACAAAGGGCCAGTTTACTGTCCTTCAGACTTTAGGGGGCCCTGACTGTGGCCAGTGGGAGAAGAAAATGTCCCGGCATCACAGGGAGAAAACAATGCCTCATCGTTGGTATTAACGGGAGATATAATGCCCCATCACTGTTATCAATGGGAGGAATAGTTTCCCATTGTTGGTGTCAGGGGGAGAAATAGTGTCCCATTGTTGGTGTCAGTGTGAGGAATAGTGCCCCATCATTGGTGTCAGTAGGCGGAATTGTGCCCTATCATTGGTTTCAGTAGGAGGAATAATGCCCCATTATTTGTGTCAGTAGGAAGAATAGTGCCCTATCATTGGTTTCAGTAGGAAGAATAGTGCCCCATCATTGGTGTCAGCGGGCAGACTAGTGCCTTATCATTGGTGTCAGTGGGAGGAATAATGCCCCATTATTGGTGTCAGTGGGAGGAATAGTGCCCCATCATTGGTATCAGTGGGAGGAATAGTGCCCCATCATTGGTGTCAGTGGGCAGAATAGTGCCTTATCATTGGTGCCAGTGGGAGGAATAATGCCCCATCATTGGTATCAGTGGGAAGAATAATGCCCCATTATTGGTATCAGTGGAATTAATCGCTCCCCATTGTTGGTGATAGTGATGGGAGCTATGCCCCACTGTTGCTGATGGTTGGGAGAATAATGCCCCAAGGGCCAGATAAAAGCAAGCAAAGGGCAGCATCTGGCCCCCGGGCTGCAGTTTTGAGACCACTGCTTTAGATATTTGCACAGTGATTTTTTTTTATAAATAGATCCCTCAGTTCTCTTTTTCAGTTCACCAAAGAGACATTCTTGGCTTTTAGAGGCCACTATAGTTTTCTTAAAAACAAACATGTGCCATACACATTACATTAATGAATTCTGTGGGAACATCATACATGTTTTTACTGAATGGAAGTTTAGTATCACTTCCAGAAACATGCCTGCCACATGGCAATCCTACAATCATGAACAACAGAGTAAGCAGAAAAAGTTATTTGTTTCAACAGAAATAAACAATGTGTGGTTGCAGATACCCCTTTCTTCTGTCAGTTGCAGGATGCAGAAGTAATGTTTAATGGAGAAAAATAAACACATTTCAGTGTAATTGCTTTCTGGTGAAGAGTCAATCACTCTCACTGTAAAAAGTTTTCCACCTACATAACATTTCTGTGATTGCATCAACTAGGTTATATGGGCGGCATTGCGTTGGTGATACGTGTTCATGCTGCTGTGCAACTGATTTCCAGCTTATGCCCAGAGAATGAATATCATGTTTGCAGTGATCATTCACTAAACACAGCACAATGAATTTTTGTTTCCTACAATATATCACCAGTCACAGTGCTGTGATTTAAAATAGTGCGATTTGTGGGCAATTCTGAGCGCGATTTCTGAAGACTAACGATTTCTTGCAATTTGCAGTGCACTTTCTATTATATTCTATGTATGTGAAATCGCAACAAAACTGCAGAAAAAGTAATGCAAAAACTACTTTAGAAATCGCACCGAAGGAAATCGCAAATGTTAAGTCACTGAAATCGCACCGGTGTGACCGGCACTAAACATTCATCAATGTATTGATTTTGATTTGCTATTTTATAGTAAAAGGTCAAAAATATTGTGTTTTTTTTTTCAAAATTGTCGGTTTCTTTACTGTTTATAGCACAAAAAATAAAAAACGCAGAGGTGATCAAATACCACAGAAAGAAAGCTCTATTTGCGGAGAAAAAAGGACGTAAATTTCATTTGGGTGCAGCGTTGCATGACCACACAATTGTCAGTTAAAGTAACGCAGCACCGTATCGCAAAAAATGGCCTGGTCAGGAAGGGGGGTAAATTCTCTGGAGGGCACGTGGTTAATGAAAGAATGCAGATTTAAAAAGATTGAAAACATTTTTTTTAATTACATTATCACGTTAATCAAGGTAAAGCTTTCATGAGATTATATTGATTGGGTTCAATCTGCTTTAAAACTGCTTACTTTTGTTATGCTGCACTCACAAATAAATTTCACTTTCACTTCCCCCCTCCTCTCCCATGTTTGGAATGCTTTTTTTGAGGGGGGGGGGGGGCGGGTACCTTATTTTGACAGGTATCTGCTCCTACTACCGCTGTGATCACCTAGGCGCTTGGTGCGGAGGTTCGCCCACCCCCTTCCCCCTCAGTCTGTTGGGACACATCAGAGGTCCCAGAAGACTGAGGGACCATTCACAGGTATTAAAGTGCACTCAAAGTATATCCAAACCCAAGAACAAGAATATATATTGTAAAATGGAAAAAAGCGGCGCTAATTGTACAATAACATTAGGCCAAAATAAAGTCCATATAAGTCCCTAAATGAATGGAAGCAGGTGCATAAAAAAGTTCGATCCAAAACCATCACCATACACCCCAAACAAATTGGCCGCTTACCAGACAATTTGACCGTACAAAATCGGTCAACAAGCGCAGTGTGATATAACATCAATACAGCAATCGATCCTCAATAGAAAGCCCTTCCAAGATGAAAGGTAACTTCTCCCCCTTCAATGATCTCCAAATAGAAGAAACTCTCATCCGATGGTCAGGGAATGAGTAAAGAGAAAAGGAAACTTATAGTGTAGTATTTAAAATATACTTTGGCAAATTTCTTTAGGTTCCACGTACATCAAATTATAAGATAACCAGCATCGTAAAACAGGAAGTTTCAAACCAACAAGATGGACGCCGCCCCTCCAGAGAGCGGTGATGTCACATGGCGAGTCTGCACCCCACACGTTTGGTCATCAAAAGGACATTGCTGCATTTTTTTCATTTGATATTATAACATTGCCTTTACATGTGCAAGCTGCTTTTATTCTGTTTTATTTGTTTTTTGTGGTTTAAAATCTGAGCGCAAGTGTTGTTATATAAGAATATATATTGCTCTTTACCATATGCAGTGGCTGCATATATATATATATATATATATATATATATATATCAATCAGTATTTTAAAACCTGTGAACGCTAATTTGTGATATCTCACTGCTTGGAGAGGGTACCAGTACCAAGGAGGACCACAAGCCCCAGCAGAACTGGAAACCTTTTTCACAAAGCGCAGTAGAGTCTTATATAAATTTTAGAGTTCATAAAAATCGGTGAGTGAGTGGGATCACTGGCAGGGAACACAGCATGTGAATTGGCTCTACTTATTTATTTATGGACTTTTTGCACAAGTTGATTTATGGACTATTATTAGTGTTATTGGACAGATCTGTTTATGTTGCTTGTTATGTTTTTTTTCGATTTATTATGCAGCGCTCATCTGCCAACATTTATTCATTTATCAGGGTCAGTACCCTATGTAGAAACAGCAGCTACATTTGTAATATTGTGTAAATAATATATTAATTTTGTAAAGTTATAGTACACAATCACGGGAAAGAATTTTCATAATTTACCAGAGCACAAGGTATAGTCCCCAGCACAGGACATAAGTTTAAATAACCAAGTTGCGCTGCCTTCCCGCGGTATAGTAAAGTTACCAAGCAAGCTGTGCTGTCTGGAAAGGCTGAGCAAATCTCTGAACTAAATAGACATAAATACAAATCCTTTGGCAAGTAAAACATCTCCTTTATGTGTAGGAGTGTGAATTCAGCTTTAAAATGTACTTAGCACTGTATTTATATTTTGTATTATTTGCTCCTGCTGGAAGACTGTACTATTCTTTTATACTGATTTTCTTTTTGTAACTTGTGTTTACTGCTAGGTGTGTGCAATACTGACAACTTCAGCTTGCTTTCAATCACCATTGATTACGGTCCATTTGGCTTCATGGAAAAATATGATGCTGGTGAGATTTCAATGTTAAATATGATGTCAATGAATGTCCACATTTGTGAAGTGACCACAGGCCAAACTAGAACCTAAATCTGATACTAAAATGCTTGGATACAACCCTGCTGCAGGTTGGGGTTTGTTGGTAAGCCACATGAATCTAGGGTTGCCACCTCATAGTTACATAGTTAGTCTGGCTGAAAAAAGACAAAAGTCCATCTAGTTCAACCATTAAAAAAAAAAAAATTATAATCTTATACCCACAGTTGATCCAGAGGAAGGCAAAAAAAAAAAACAACCCAGCAAAACATGGTCCAATTTGCTCCTGCAGGGAAAATTCCTTCCTGATCCCCCTGAGAGGCAATCGGATATTCCCTGGATCAATAAATATTCGTACCCAGTTATATTCTGTGTATCTAAGAAAGAATCCAGGCCTTTTTTACAGCAATCCACTGAGATGGCCAGAACCAACTCTCGAGGGAGTCTATTCCACATTTTCACAGCTCTTATTGTGAAGAAACCTTTCCGTGTTTGGAGAATAAATCTATTTTCCTCCAGAGTGTGATGTGATGACCTCAGAGTGAATAACTCTACAACGAGTTCACTATATGTACCACTGATGTATTTATACATGTTGATCATATCCCCCCTGAATCTCCTCTTCTCAAGAAAGAATAAATCCAGTTCCTCTAATCTGTTCTCATAGCTGAGCTCCTCCATGCCTCTTATCAGTTGGTTGCCCTTCTCTGTACTTTCTCCAGTTCCCCAATGTTACTTTTGTGAATTGGTGCCCAAAACTGAACTGTGTATTCCAGATGCGGTCTTACTAATGATTTGTACCGGGGTAATATGATATCTCTCTCTCTGGAAGTCTATACCTCTTTTAATACAAGAGAGGATTTTGCTCACTTTAGAAACTGTAGCTTGGCATTACATGCCATTATTAAGCCTGTGATCTACCAGAACTCCCAGATCTTTCTCCACCATTGATTCCCAGTTGTACTCCCCCTAGTATGTATGATGCATACATATTCTTAGTCCCCAAGTGCAGAACCTTACATTTATCAACATTATACCTCATTGAGGTCGGCTTGTAAATTGAAGACATCCTGTAAGGACGTTATTCCACTGCACAGCTTGGTGTCATCTACAAAGACTGAAATGGGATTTTTAATCCCAGACCCTATATTGTTTATAAATATATTAAAAAGTAAGGGTCCCGACACTAAAACTTGGGGTACACCACTGACAATCCTAGACCATTCAGAGTATGAATCATTAACCTCTACTCTCTGAATACGATCTTTTAGCCAGTTTTCTATCCACTTACATACAGATTTTTCCAAGTTTGTAGACTTTACCTTACACATTAGCCGTGTGTGGGGAACTGTGTCAAACGATTTTGCAAAATCCAAGTATACCAAATCCACTGGCCACCCCTCTGTCCAAGGTTTTTCTCACCCCCTCATAAAAAGAAATCAGATTTGTTTGACAACTTCTGTCTTTCATGAATCCATGCTGTCTCTTGCCTAAAATATTTTTTTCCAGCAAGAACTCATCTATGTGGTCTTTTATTAAACTTTCCAGTATCTTCCCAACTATAGAAGTTAAACTAACAGGTCTGTAATTACTTGGTAAAGATTTTGATCCCTTTTTAAATATTGGCACCACAATAGCCTTACGCCAGTCCAGTGGTACTATGCCAGTCATTAAAGAGTCCCTAAAAATTAGAAACAATGGCTTTGAAATGACAGAGCCCAATTCTTTAAAACCAAACACATATGAATTACACAGGTTCTGAGGCTAATTTAATGCAGATAAGGCACTAAGTGAGTTTATTTGCCACCTTAATCAGCCACAGAACCTGTGTAATTCATATGTGTTTGGTTTTAAAGGGAAGAGGTGGCAACCCAACATGAATCCAAGTGTAGATTGGACGGACCATCAGAAGCAGCACATACTTACCAGTCGGGTGCCATGCCGATTGACCACACCAATGCAAGTCAAAAGAATTTTATGACTGCTAGAGTTTAAGTGGCCTTATACATTAGATCAGTGCTTCTCAATTATTTTCTGTCATGCCCCCCCTAGGAAGAAGAAAACATTTTGCGCCCCCCCACGCGACTGTAAATAGTATCATTTGTCTATAAAATTGTACACCTCTGCATAACACTGTATCCTAATTAACGTATAAGAGAATAAAAAAACAAAGAAATGTGGATCAATTTACAACAAAGAATAGTACCCTGTCAGTGGGGAGAGGAATAGTGCCCCATCGTTGGTGTCAGTGGGGGGGAGGAATAGTGCCCCATCGTTTGTGTCAGTGGGAGGAATAATGCCCCATCATTGGTGTCAGTGGGAGGAATAGTGCCCCATCGTTGGTGTCAGTGGGAGGAATAATGCCCCATCATTAGTATCAGTGACACCAATGATGCGGCACTATTCCTCCCACTGACACCAATGACACTTGCTGACCCCTGTTGCAGTATGGTGCTGCTGCAGCCAGCATATGTGGTTGCAGCAGCACCTCTGCACTGCACACTTACCGGCTTTTCCCTCACTCGATTTTCGCGGGGTCCGCTCGGCTCCGCCTCCTCGCCCGTGATTGGCCGCCTGTGTACCTTTCCTGAGCTACAGTTCTGGCGGCCAATCACCGGTGAGGAGGCGGAGCCGAGCGGCAGGAGTGAGGGAGTGGCCGGAGTGACGGAAGGAGCAGCGCTTCCTGGATGGATCATCGTGGGAGCCAGTTAAGAGACAGCAGCCCTCTGCCCAGCCCTGTACTTAGTGTCCCTTCTGTCAGAAGGGGGGGGGGGGGGGGGGGCGGCGACGCGCCCCCCTTGACGGAGCCTCGCGCCCCTATAATCTATTAGATTATAAGCACATACACACTTATTTTTCATGTGAGCGTGCTTGTGGACAGGGCAGGCCCCTCCAGTGCTCCCTGGAGAACAGTAATTCGTTCAAATAAATAAAATAATCCATTATATTAATTCTACAGGACACAGGCTGAGCATTCGTAAACTGGGTTATAGGTAGGTACCTTCAGGTTACTGCAAAGGTGACATTTTTTCTGGTAGTGTCCTGTGATGATGGACCTCTTCTCCCTTACAGAGTTTTTCTGTGGTGTACATTAGTTTCTTTTTTTAGGCTTTTTGTCTCTTTTATTTTCACATGATGATCTTGCCAATAAGTCAGATAAGTCTGTTATACATGCAGTTGCAGCGCAGTGGTACAGGCTTTTAGGGGTTAAAACAGGCACTGAGGAGGCAACATTAAGCCTCTTCACTGCCTGTAAAATACCCTCTGAAAAAGTCTATTAAGTCTCATTGACTTAATTTTCAGCAAATGACTCTTCCTAAATACCGAGGTGGACTTGGTCTCCCAGATTTGAGAAAATATTATTGATCCTGGTTTTTGACCAGAATTGTTGATTGGTGCACCCATAGTGTAATTAAAGCCTGGGTATTGGTGGAACTGGCCTTTTCTCCCATCCAATTACTGTCTTTACCATGGATCCCGAAACCACTAGATTCAAAGGCGCTGTCATCTTACACTTTGATAGGCCCTACACTTCCTACCTTTCATGCGACTTGTACCAACTATTCCATATCGTCAGAGAGAGGACCCCTATTGTTGCCGCGCCATAACTCTGAATTCTCACCTGGCTTGGAAAGAAAGCTCCTCCCAAAAAGTAGTCCCGAACCCTCCATGCAGGCCTTACTTTTCTTTGACAGAAGTCAGTTTTTAGATCAGCTGGCCCTACCCACATCCACTCCTAAATGGACTGTTCCTCTGTGGGCCTACTTCCAGACTCGTCGCTTTCTCAATTCACGGAGAGATGTATTCTAGACCACATACTTCCTTTTGAAATGAGTTATACAGCTTTTTCTCCTCAGTCCCATGTCATTTCCTCTATCTGTATCACCCTGTTTAGGGACTATGAATCAATTTCTAATGAGGACTAGGAATTTATTTTTTAAATGACTCACATAGTTTCTCTGAACTTTGCCATTCAGGAAAATGGGATCAAATTGCAATCCAGGTGGTCCCGCACGCTGACGGTGTTGCAGCAAATTTTCCGATGGCCCCAGACACCTGCTGGAGATACCATTTCGAGACCTGGATTTTGCTCCATATTTGGTGGAACTGTCCAGCTTTACCACACTTTTGGACCTCAGCACTTCGCCTGTCTCCTGTCTGCCTTTGGACGTTTCCCCTGCACGATTCCTCTTGCATTGCACTATCATGCCCAAGCAGTAATATCGGAAATCCTTAACCATGCATATGGTGAATGCAGCCAGACTTTGCATACCAATCCATTGGAGATCACCGCAACCGCCTACTGTAGGCTAATGGTTTGCTCATCTTGAAAAGATTACAGAAATGGAGGAACTGATTCACATTTCTTATGACAGGATTTCTCAGTTTCATACGACATGGGCATGTTGGCTTCATTACATGACAACACCCAAGTATTAGACATTGCTCAGGGGTGGTGAGGGATAGGTTAAGATCGTCAGGTTGTATGTCTGCTGGGAGAGTGAGTCCTTATTGGGTGGGCAGCAGGACACCTCTGGTTCCCCTTTACTATACTTTTTATGAGCACTTGTACAGGGCCTTAACCCCCCCCCCCTTTCTCTCTTTTCTTACTCTCTGCTTCATTAGTTTACTGTCTAGTCTTCAATATCTTTGATATAGTTTCTTTTTTTTCATAGGAGCTCTCTTTACTGACAGGTCAAGCCCCTCACTTTTTATGGCAGGGTAAGGAATTGCTGAGATCCACTTGAAATTGCTTTCTTGTTTAATATCTGTTTCAGTATTCAGTGCTGATGCACATTTTGGATGGATAATTGATTTTCCACTTTAACATCAACAGAAATGTGTCTTTCTGGAAACATATTTTGCTTCTTACCTCAGACACATGCATATTTTGCTGTTTTTCTGCTAAACCTAATACTATGATGTGATGGTACTTCTCAGTTCTGTTTGTGTACCTTGAGCTCAATAAACTTCTTTATGGAAAAGCGTTCCACTACGAATCACTTTGCAGAGGGCTAAAGCAAGTGTAAATGAGGCCTAAAAGATTATTCCTAGATTGTAAGCTCCGAGGAGCAGGGCCCTCCTATCCCTCTTGTATTGAACTGTATTGTTGCTGTATTGTCTCCCGTTATATTGTAAAGCACTGAGCAGACTGTTGGCGCTATATAAATCCTGTATAATAATAATATCGCCTCACTTTAGAGAGATTTCTACTCATTTCCTGTTGTGTCTCAGGAAGTAAGTGGATATCTCCCCACATATGATTTCCTATTTATCTAAAATTAAGAAAATGTTTTGCCAGGGAGATGCACTTTAATATTTCAGGGCAGCAGAAATCCCGAAAACAAAAACATTTCACCAATATGAAGTAATATATTCTGATGAATACAAAACCCAAAGTTCAGTCTTGTTTTCAACAGCCATTTTCAACCTTTGCCCCCAGCACGGAAGGATTTAAAGTATTTTGGAAAGAAAACAATGTTTAGGATGATAGATGAGCAGTCTGAAGTCACTGCAGCTTACTCACAGATTACTCTGGTTAACATAACATGGAAGGTTTATTATGTAGCTCTAGAAATCAATTGCCTGACAATTTGTGCCTGTAAGGAAGATGATGTTGAAGACCATCTGGAAGTCTGCAGCCCATCTTATCAAAATAAACAACCTGTAGCTTGCAGCACTGTGCTAGGAAAGGCTTAAGTTCCTCCTAAATTTCCAGTGTAGTTATCAAGTCAGAAATAATGGCTATTGTTGAACTGGCTGCTCTGGCTATTTATTTTAATTATGTTTTTTTTTTTTTTTCCCTTGTACCTCAGTAATACATGGTGTGTTTGCTTTAAATAGATTATATTCCAAACACATCTGATGATGAAGGAAGGTATAGGATCGGAAACCAGGCCAACGTTGGAATGTATAATCTGAACAAGCTGCTTCTAGCTTTGAACCCTCTTATGGACAGCAGACAAAGGCAGCTGTGAGTAATCCCTCCCCCCCCCCAAAGTCATAAACACCCTCATCCTGTCTGCACCTAGGACCCCTAGACGTTGGTACTGTGGCAAAGGGGGCAGCCAGCGGGCGTGTGTGTGCTTTCCTGTGCCCTCTTTGAAGATGTTGATACTGGGTCCCTGGGAGGATTATGACAGCTTAGAAAAATGTTGTGTTGATGAATGACCAATGACAGATGGAATGAGCTGTTTATCTTAGCGGTGGAAGGCTGACCCATGCTGGAGTGACAGCTTTGTGGAAGCATAATGAACATGCTAATTCATCCTAACTTGTATATATAGTAGCGTTGTTTCTTTTTTTATGACTTTGATCTAGGTGGGTCTTGGCTGCATCTTCTGTAATGTGCAGATTTCTCTTCTTAAGCCAGCCATACATGGATCAAAATTTGCCTGCAGGGTCTGGTCAAATTTTGATCAATGTATGGGCTAGCTGGTTGTACACAAGTTGATCTATCAATCAACTTTTGTACAACTAGCCTGTTGAGACGTTCACTTTTTTCCTGACTGATTAGTGCCAACTATAGCTGGCAACACTGATCAGTGGCGTCCCTAGGGGGGTGCGGGGGGTGTGGGCCGCTCTGGGTGACACCATCACAGGGGGTGCAGGAGCAGGATGCCAGCTTCTGGGCTCTATGAAGGTCCTGGCCAGTTATTGGGGTGATCCCGGATTCCTGGAACAGTGACAGCTGGCCCTCGGTGTAGTGGTAAAATGAGTATCCTGGAACCATGAAAATATGTATCCCCTGAAGAAACTGGGCATGTGCCGGTTTTAGGCCGAGAAGCCGAGAAGCCGATCTCCGACTTTAGCACAGAGCTGCCACAGTTAACCCCTTACAGGATGCAAACCGCGGAAGCTGATCCCATGGATCACTATGGGTTGCAAGATCAGTTAACCCCATATAGGTTGAACCTATACGGGGTTAACTGATCTTGCAACCCATAGTGAAACCGGCACATGCGCAGTTGCTTCAGGGGATACATATCTTCATGGTGATACTCATTTTACCGCTACACTGGCACCGCTTCTTCCTCTCTGGAGGCACGACACCAGATGTTACTGCACCGGGTGACACCAACCCTGTTGACGCCTCTGACACTGATCATTGTATTCTTCTGGCAGGGAAGGCTTCCTGCTGGCAGAATACTATAGCTCAGTGGGAAGAATTCCACCATCCACAGCAAAGGTGGATGGGGGAATCGGCTCAGTTTTTTTTTCGTTCAACCCGTTGGTTGAACAAGAAGCAAAATGAGTCATGTATGGCCTGCCTTAGAGTAACAACCCATCTTTTTTATCAAAACTGGAGCACAATAGTCTTTTAGGTAAATAAAAAGTTCAATAGGAGCAATTTGGTACTGACCCGAGAACTGATAATTTTCCTTAAATCAGAATTTCCCTGTATCTGAGCACCACAAACCAAAAACGCTGTTTGATTAATTTTTAATATTCAAAGCCAACTCTCCCATCCATCCATATCTCCATGCTTTATTTTGCTGAGAAATCACTTTGAAAAACATCCTCCTAGCATTTCTGGCTGTGGCCATCTTGAGTAAGGGCAGCTGATTCATGTAGCATTTACTTCCTGGAATTTATTTGCCCTGAGCTCAGGCATGCAGGCAGGGGGGTGTGATTAGCTAAGAAAACCTCTCTACCCCTCCTGAAGACTCCTGGGAATATGGTATAATTTGCCTAGATATGAAAAAAGTAAATATGATACACTTTCCTATTTACCAATGTTAGCAGCATGAGGATTAAAAATAGTCAGTGTTGACTGAGAGGGTGAAGTTCCGCTTTAATAAAGTTAGACCTTACATTTTATATAAATCCCACATTTGTCTAGTTTTCTACAGGTGGTGAGGGGTTATTATTTCTGTATGTGGCCCTGATTGATTCACACCTCTCTCTCTTTGTCCTCACCAACATTAAAAATCTGGGAAAAGACAGCATTTTAGATTGTCACCAGAAAGTGAATCTTCAATGCAGGCCACTGTTTTTCTGTCACTTTGGAAGGATTTCCTACCACTTCCTGTTTGGGTCTACCAGACAGGAAGTGAATAGAAATCTCCCCAATGCCACACAGATGGCAGAAAACCCGACGCATATTTCAGATTTCATATAGGTCTCTTAGCAGGTATAGTTCACCATACATTTTTTCAGATAGCATGTACTAAAGCTGTCCATAGATGAGTCACTTTTTTCCATTCAACCAGCGGGTTGAACGAAAAAAATGGACGCAATTCCCCCGTCTACACATTCAAATTGGGTAGGCAGCACAGTGGCTAAATGGTTAACACTTCCGCCTGTCAGCACTTGGGTCATTGGTTCGAATCCCAACCACGGCACCACCTGCCTGGAGTTTGCATGTTCTCCCCGTGCCTGCATGGGTTTCCTCTGGGTACTCCAGTTTCCTCCCACACTCCAAAGACATGCTGGTAGGTGAATTGGTTCCTGTCTAAATTGGCCCTAGTATGTGTATGTATGAATGTGAGTTAGGGACCTTAGATTGAACGCCTCTTGAGAGTTATGGACTGATGACTGATGTGAATGTACAATATATATGTAAAGCGCTGCCTAAATTGACGTTGCCACATAAGTGCCTGAAATAAATAAATAAATCCTCCCCATTGTCTCTTTGTATTTTGATGGGGAAGGGGAGGGGTGGAATGTCCCTGCTGTCAGAATACTCTGGTCAACTATGAAAACAGGGCGGTGGAATAGAAGTCGATTAGCAGATCTACTTCTGTTAAACTACAGAAGCCATACATGGATTGAAATTTGGTCGGTCCCTGCTGAACCGCCCGAATTTCAGTCCATGTAAGGCCAGCTTTAGGGTGGAATGTAGGGAAGGTAAAAAAGTAGTAAACCGCCTTTATGCATATTGGTTTTCTTAACAACAACAGCAGAGGGAGCTATGTGACAGCTGTAGTTATCTATAGATGTATATTGTAAAAAAATCATTAGTAGTAGAATGCAGCACGCAGAAAAGATGTGATATACCATTTTCATCATTTAATAAAGATTTTCAGTAATAAGGCAATCATGTGGAACAATTCATGCCATTTCCTGATGAGCCTCAAATCCCAGTTGTTGCCGATGCATGCTGAGACTTTTGGTTCAAAAGCAGGATAGAGGGCTGCTCCATATACTATGGGGAAAAGATGAGTGTTCCTATCATTTTCAGGTGTTCTGCATAAAACATTTCACTATCTTGCATGTAAAACTAAATAAATTATCTGATTCTGTTTCAGAGCTTCAGCTGTACTTACAGGCTTTCCTGACCTGTATTACTACAGGTAGGTTGTTGTTTTTTTAGGAATGTCTGTTTGTTTTTTTGCACAGTAGTCTCATATCGAAATGAATAGGTTACTAAAGTTACAAAAATTCTCGTAAGACAGAATACAACTTTGTAAGTGTAATGTTAGGTATTGTATTGTAATGTGTTTGTTCGTTTCCGAGCATGCGCAGTCTTGGTCACTTGATCTTTTACGGATGAATACTGTACTGATTAAACGGAAATAGTTTGTTCTGTTAACGTACGAGAAAACATTTTCGTGCTTGTTGCCACGGATATTTTTGCATGAACTTTTGCATGATCGGCTCTCAAAATCTGTGTACTAACGATCAGATTATCAGACGATCGCTCCCGAGAGCTGTATTTTTTTGTCCATTTTTCTTGTCTGTACTTTAGATTTTTCCTAAACTGGGGACAGTTTTAGTAATCTGAGTTTGCAATCTGTGTACAATGTTGTCTAATTTGAAAACTATGTAGTGGAAGGGCTTAATTAAAGTAGAAATCCAGGTAAAATGTATTGTACCATGCAGTGGGGCTGTGCCTGCACTGCATGGGTTAACTGCTTGTTTTTATCCAGTGGTGATAAGACCAGAGATATATTTACCTAATCTGCCCATCCACTGAGCGCAAGACTGGTCCCTGACGCTTGCATGCTAGCGGTCTTTTGAATGGACTGTTCCTGACGTCACCAATAGACCGTCTCTGGAAATGAGGACGGTAGGAACAGTCCACAGCTGGACATGGGGGAGTGCTGTTTTTGGGAGGTTTGAAGGATTGGGTAAGTATAGCATATTGGGGCCCCCCTGGACAAAAGGAGCAGACAAAAAATGTTTTACCCAGTGTTCTGCTTTAACTTGTTAATGACTGAGGGTCATTGATGCCTGGATGCTCAGGTCAAGTTAAGTAATATAAGCATGCTGCAGGTAGGTTGACAATAACTCTGAATAACTTGCACACCTAAATTTAAAAATATTTTTTTAAGGATTTATACCCCTTTTATTTGATACATTGTTCAATAAATACCGTGCTCAGAATTTGTTTTCATAAGCTGACAAATGAACAAAAATGTAAAAAAAATGTACGGCTTATAATAATAATAATAATAATAATAACATAATAATGTTTTCAATTAACTTTTTTTTTTTTTTACAGACTTCTCTAATAGCCTGCAACCTGCCTAATGCTTCTGTCAATGGCAATGATAGTTGAGCCCCATCTAATACCTGCTTTTTTTGTGAACACAGCCATGTGATAGTCAACTATGATTGGCTGTCATAATGATCAGATGACTACACACTACGTTCATTGATTCCCAGTCACTGTATCTGACAGTCTTACTGTCAAATACAGTACTGTTAAAGAACTAGCAGGCAGTTGTCCAATGTCCTCACAAGGCATTGTGCCGAGGCATATTAAAGTGAAACAAAAGTCCCACAGTAAAAAAAAATGTAAGAGTTTTTGGCAAAAGAGACATACAGGGTTTCTCTTGCCAGTAAGCCTCAGTTCTCTCTTACAGCCTCCTTGCAGCCACTTCATGTCTCCAGGTACTCCAGTGATGGGTGAATGGCATTTCCCAGAGTGGGTTTCCTGATTCTGACAACAGTGGACCATGCCTGTGTAAGGTGTATTGAAATGGCCATCAGTAGTTTCCATTGGAAGCCTGTGTAACAGGGTGGCAACTCGTTATCACACTTGGGAGATGGGAATAAAGCGGTGCCACCCGATAAAAAAGGAAGTGCCCACACAGTGATCTTTATGACAGAATCCTTAGTTCATATTTTAATGAAAAAGTAGAAAAAAAAACCGTGCTATTAGTACTTACAACTAAAAATACCTAAACAATAAGTCAAATTTAGTCAAATTGAATCAGGAAAGCAGCTACCACCCAACTGTGCAATCACTCCACTGTGGTAATGAATCAAAATCAAATACTGGTGAAGCGCTTCTATAACATAACAAATCAAATATCATATAACCTCATATCATAACCCTTTATCATAAACAGATCCCCCCCAGTATTCTTTTGTGAATATGCAAAAAAAAAAAAATTATATCTCTCTCTCTCTCTCTATATATATATATATATACACACACACACACACACACACACACACACACACACACACACACATACACAGTATAGCTTTTAAAGCACAAAAAAAACCCCAAAACATATAGTCCAATGTGAAAATCCCATGCACCAGCCAATCATCGTGCAATCTTCAATCGATATATTAATTCTTCTGCTTTCATGAGATTTTAGTGGCTAGATTTACATCTGCTGTAGGTATTCTAGTCTTCATTACTGTCACAAATGTTTATTCACACGCTGTTCTTGTTTTCAGATTCACAGAACTCTTTAGAGCCAAGCTTGGCTTCCTAGGTGGAAGTGAAGAGGACCTGTCATTGATTGCATCCTTCCTTAATGTATGTTATACTTAACAGAGTACAGAATGTGAAGAAGTCACAGATAATCTTATGTCACATTGTGGTCTTTCTTCTAAACAGCTGATGGAAGAAACTGGGGCTGATTTTACAATGTCATTTCGTCACCTTAGTGAGATTACTTTAGACCAGCTATCCAGTCTCAACATCCCTCAGGTATGTGAAGAATGAGAGAGAGTGTTGATACACAGACCATTACCTGATCCTGTAGAATTCAGTAAAGCAGAATGGTAGGAACTATTCAAAAATACCTTAAAAGAGAAACCTAGTGCAGAACAAACTGCACTCCTGTGATCCATAGAAGTACAGCCAAAAGAGCTTTGGCTGTACTTCTCTTTTAAAGGCCAAATTCTTCGCAACTTCTGTTTTCAAGTTGTTGTAAAGGCTAAAGTTTTTTTTTTAACCTTAATGCATTCTCTGCATTATGGTAAAAAAACCTTCCAAGATTACCCCCCCTCCCCTCTGAACTCAATCCAGTGCTGTTCCTTAGAGCAGCCTCACTGCTCTCTCTCTCCTCACTGGCTCAGAGGCAGTAGTAGAAGTCAATGCCTCTTGCTGCTGTCAATCAAATCCAGCAGGGGCGAGGGGCAGTGCCTGCCATGCCTCTGTTTGTCTACAGACACACAGACCATGTCTTGCAAGCCCGCACGTCTGCCCACAAGTGCTTACTATGGGAGTAGGCACTGAATAGGAGGAGCCAAGAGTGATGGCGTTGGAGCCGAGAAGAGGAGTTTCAATACCTTTGCACAAAGCAGGTAAGTATAGCATGTTTGTTATTTTATTTAAAAAAAATATACTTAATAACACTTAATTTTGGGTGGTCACTGTTGGAGTAAATCAATGACTGCTTTCTTTGCTTTTTTAAAAGGAGCAAAATTTCCATGCCAAAGTCCCTTTTCCCTAATAGCAGTGGAAATTGAGAATCCAGCAATTGTCCATACGCTACACAATTTGCTTCAAAATGTTTTGAATTTTACCACCCATATATTCCTCCATTTGATCTCCAGAATAGGTTCAAAGTGATTGAAATGGTAGTAAAAAAGAATTGATGATTGTTTTGTGGCATATACTCAAATCTAAATAAAGACCTTTAAAGGATGCAGCTTATAACATGACATCACCACCACCAGGTTTAAAATGGCTTGTGTGGGTAATCTGCAAAGCAGTGTCACATTATGGTGTCCTTTTATGAAAAAGAGATCAGCGGCGATCCTGAGGATCATTGCTGATCTCAGATCATTAGTGGTTTAGGAAACAGAGATGATCAGCGGAGAACAAGTTCTCCGCTGATCATCTCAGCACACAGACTGTCAGTGTATAAAGGAGCGATGTCAGCCCTTCACTGGCGAACTGTGTTCTCCCTCCAGATTCCCCAGCCCAGAGGTGGAGAATCGGGGGAACTGCAAAAACGAAGCAGCGGTAATTTAACGCTGCTTAGTAAACGGTGTTTGACTGATCTCTTACTGTAATCTTGCAAGATTACAGTAACAGCAGCCGTTTTCTAGCGTTCAAAGCGTTTGTAGATCTGTGACGGGTGTCACTTTGGGTGGGGGGCCCATGGAACACAGCTTACTTTGGAAAGGTGGGGAGACCCCTGTCTCAGCTCCCCATATCCCTATTATGTGTAAGTCACCCTGTGCCTGTTAGGGGTACAGGGTGATATGTCCTAATATTGTGTGGCGGGTTATTCATTGTTTAATGCCATGTGGTTGTATCCCATTGTTCTATGGTGTGTCTTGCTTGGGAGCAAACTATTATGGGATGTATGTGTTTGTGTATTGGCTTGGTGGGAGGTGTCTGCTGATGTCTCTTGTTGCTAGATGTGGTTTTACCCCGCCCTGTGTCATTTTGCAGTGAGGGGGGATTGTTCCCTTGAATGTATATATCTTGTATCTGTGTTAAAATAAAGTAGTCTATTTCCTGGTTTTTCTTCAAGAGTGGTGTCCGTGTTCGGACAGGGAAGCGGGAGTCTAACGGAAATACCCTAGTGCAGTCGGGGTCCGGTTCCGTTACATTGGTGGCAAGCGGTGGGATTGTGCTTCCTGGCTGTGAACACTTCCAAACCTCCACCTGGATCCAAGGTTTGGATAACAGGAGAAGAGAGATACAGATACCACCCACAGCTATGGAAATCAAGGTCTTATGGTGGATGCAGCAAGTGCTGGCTTACTAAGACGATCCTGTTTCTGCACAGGACGAGCTTTGATGGAGGAATACGTCTGTCCAACAACTGGATGAGGGTTTGGAAGATGGAGCAGTCGGCTCATCCCTCCAATTACAGATCCCAAGATGTATGGATCTAATGGATTTTTCATTGGAGGATGTTATGGGTGATGAGTCACCTGCAGTCTGGGGCATCCAAACCTCCACTGGGATCCAAGGTTCGGATAGCAGGAGAGGAGAGATACAGGTACCGCCTGCAGCTATGGAAATGAAGGTCTTATGGTGGACGCAGCAAGTGCTGGCATACCTAGACGATCCTGTTTCTGCACGGGAGGGGCTTGGATAGTGGAATGCGTCTGTCCAACAACTGGATGAGGGTATGGAAGATGAAGCAGTCAGCTCATCCCTCCAATTACAGACCCCAGAATGTATGGATCTAATGGATTTTTCTCTGGAGGATGTTATGGGTGATGAGTCACCTGCCAAAGTGCTGGCAATGGGCCCAAGGGCCACCAGCCCGTGCCCTGGACATTTAGCCATTCCAGAGACTGGGTATTTGATAGACTTCTCTGTTGAGGAAAAAACACCTGGTGAGCCTCAAGCAGAAGAGCTGGCAACAGGGCTAAACATTACTGAGCTCTACCCTGTACCAACAGCAGCTTCAGTCTCCCTGAGAGAAGAGGCGGCCAGCCTTTCTCCTACACCACTGACAGAGACATGGGATTCCTGCCAGCAGCATCTTTGGAGGTAGAAGAAAGTTCTCCAGCTGAAGCACTGACAACCGGACAGAGAGTCCAGAACCTCTGCCACACACCTGTGGTAGTTTCAGAGGCCCAGGGGGAGAAGGGAGAGGAGGTTGTTGTCCTCCTTCCCCCACAGTCAGCCAGAGTAGAGGAAACTGTCTTCCCTCCCAAGTCAGGATCTGTGCACCAGGGGGACAGTGACAGAGGAATGCCATCCCAGCAGCAGATCTACAATCTGGGAGTGGAGGAAGCCGACCTTCCTCCCCTACGGTTAGCTGGAGCAGACGTGGGGTCCCCAGCAGAAGTGCTGGCAACAGGACAGAGCGTTGCTGGCCTCTGCCTAGCAACTACAGTCACCACTTGGATACCCCAGGGATGCTAGGCAGTCGGCCCAGATCCCCAACAAGTTAATGGAGTCAGCCCAGCCACCCTATCTTCTCTCCAGCGGCTGAGAGGACTTCAGGGAAAATGACCAGCCCGTATTTCTCCCCAGCGCGGGTATGTTCTACGAAAGAGGCAGAGGTTGGCTGGCTGAGTAATGCTTTGTTTGGGACAATTTGTTTGGGGAACTGTGTGGGTGCTGGCATTGGGGACTAGAAGTACAGACTAACTTTGGAGTCCACCCGTCTGGGGTTTACTACTGCGTTAGTCTCCTGCTGAAAGTGGAGATATGTGACGGGAGTCACTTTGGGTGGGGGGCCCATGGAACACAGCTCACTTTGGAGAGGTGGGGAGACCCCTGTCTCAGCTCCCCATATCCCTATTATGTGTAAGTCACCCTGTGCCTGTTAGGGGTACAGGGTGATATATCCTAATATTGTGTGGCGGGTTGTTAATTGTTTAATGCCATGTGGTTGTATCCCATTGTTCTATGGTGTGTCTTGCTTGGGAACAAACTATTATGGGATGTATGTGTTTGTGTATTGGCTTGGTGTGGGGTGTCTGCTGATGTGTCTATTGTTGCTAGATGTGGTTTGCCCCGCCCTGTGTCATTATGCAGGGAGGGGTGATTGTTCCCTTGAATGTATATATCTTGTTTCTGTGTTAAAATAAAGTAGTCTATTTCCTGGTTTTCCTTCAAGAGTGGTGTCCGTGGTCGGTGTTCGGACAGGGAAGCGGGAGTCTAACGGAAATACCCTAGTGCAGTCGGGGTCCGGTTCTGTTACAAGATCGCTTCTCTCCTCATTCGGAGAAACGATCTACACCGCTTCATAAAAAGGCATTCAGGGGAGAACTGATCCTCTGAGAATGCCGGAGAACTGATAAAAGGACAACTTAATTGTGTATAATCAGAGGATGCTTGGTGGTAATGTGCCCCCATTCATAAAACAACCAGCACCTTATTTACTCCTAGTCACCCCCAAGGCTTTCTGAGCAGAGCCTACCAAGCACCTACATTTTGTGATTTCTCTATATTACCATCTTCAGGCTCATGTTGTACTATAAGAGTCATATGACCTGTGTTGACTGGCTTTTGTTTATGTCAAAACTGCTTCTCTTCCTATATACATCAGTGGGAATACAAAGGCAATTTATTCATGCGGCTTGGAAGGAGGTCAATGCAAGTCATTAGGATGCCAACTGCAGGTCAAATGTAGCTGTCAGTGAACTCTGAATGATCTCAGAAGTGTCTCAAACTGCTCACGAATGCAAGTGGAATGCACCTGGAAGCATGTTACATGAAACAAGCCCAACCTGGTATTTTCAGGGGTAAACATGTTGGACCTGCACAGAAGTTGTAATCCCCAGATGATACAAAATTTTTGCTGTAGGCTTTTTTTCATAGCCCTCTTGACCTAGATCAACCTCCTGTGCTATGGAAATGACTCCCTTTCAGCAGTCCACTCGAAGCTGTAGAGCAAGGCATTCTCATAATCAGGGGTGTTTTATATATATATATATATATATATATATATTTTTTTTTTTTAAAGTAGCTTCTCCTGGTTGATCAAGTGATACTAGGGGTAACTAAACACACTTCCTAACTCTGGACAGCAAGCTGCAGTACCATTTCCATTGGACTTGCCAGCTCTGCTGTCTGGGCCAAAGCTGTCACCTGGGCTTCCATGGATTCCTTCAGACCTCCTGACCTGGGTAGTGAGCAGTCAGTTAGCAATGGATATTTACTGAGAGAGAGAAAACTGATTTAAAACATTAGTGGGTAATCTACAGATCTCTGCATTCAAAGTGGTTGTGAACCCTTACATATACCCAGTGAAGTGACTGGCTTTAGGTGATACACAGAGATGAAACAAATCCTCCTGCTTAAGTTGTACATGTTTATCTACCGCTGTCTGCCCCCTACATTCATTCAAAATGCTGAATTTAAACAGATTCTTTCAGTTCTGAAAAGCAGGGGGCGAGGAGTAGAAGTTACACTCAGTGAGGAGAGTTCTGAGAGCTGATTGGAGGGAAGGGACACTTACCCTCCACACAGCTCACTGGAACAGAGCTGAGGCTATCAATTTACTGGAGGTCCCTTCCCTGTCACCATTTTTTTTTTTGTTTTTTGGTGTCAGGAAAACTTGTCAGAAGTGACTCATGCTGACAGCAGAGGAACAAGGTAGCAGAAACAATGACACTTGGTGCTCCTAAAAAGTACTCACTATAGAGTGATATGCTTTGTTCATATTTCATGTCTGAGTTTTACAACCACTTTAATAGAATGAAAAAACTTGAAAAAAAGGCAAGCATGTTAGAATGTGAAAGTCACAAACGTTTTTGAGGTTAAAATAGATAAACTAAAATATGAGCCTACTGAAAATACATTATATACTTTCTTTTTAAGGAATATTGGGCACTCCAGGAGCTTAGCAAACATAGTAATTTCCCAGCATGGATTTCTGCATACCTGCAAAGACTGCAAAGGTAATAACTGCACATGATTGTAGTATGTTATATATACATATATACATATATACAATGCCTTGAGAGAGTATTCATACCCCTTAAAATTTTCCACATTTTGTCATGTTACAACCAAAAACATAAATGTATTTTATTGGAATTTTATGTGATAGACCAACACGAAGCGGCACGTAATTGTGAAGTGGAAGGAAAATGATAAATTGTTTTAAAATTTTTTTACAAATAAATATCTGAAAAGTGTGGCATGCATTTGTATTCAGCCCCCTTTACTCTGATACCCCAAACTAAAATCTAGTGGAATCAATTGCCTTCAGAAGTCACATAATTATTAAATAGAGTTCACCTGTGTGTAATTTAACCTCAGTATAAATAGAGCTGTTCTGTGAAGCCCTCAGAGGTTTGTTAGAGAACATTAGTGAACAAATAGCAAGGCCAAGGAACACACCAGACAGGTCAGGCATAAAGTTGTGGAGAAGTTCAAAGCTTGGGATATTTTTTATAAACTAACCCTGCTTTAAACATCTCATGGAGCACTGTTCAGTCCATCATCGGAAAATGGAAGTGTATGGCATAACTGCAAACCTACCAAGACATGGCCGTCCACCTAAACTGACAGGCCGGGCAAGGAGAGTATTAATCAGAGAAGCAGCCAAGAGTCCCATGGTAACTCTGGAGGCGCTGCAAAGATCCACAGCTCAGGTGGGAGAGTCTTTCCACAGGACAACTATTAGTCGTGCACTGCACAAATCTGGCCTTTATGAAAGAGTGGCAAGAAGAAGACCATTGTTGAAAGAAAGCCATAAGAAGTCCTGTTTGCAGTTTGCAAGAAGCCATGTGGGGAACACAGCAAACATGTGGAAGAAGGTGCTCTGGTCAGGTGAGACCAAAACTGAACTTTTTGGCCTAAAAACAAGACGCTATATGTGGTGGAAAACTAACACTGCACATCATTCTGAACACACCATCCCCACCGTGAAACGTGGTGGCAGCATCATGTTGTGAGGATGCTTTTCTTCAACAGGGACAGGAATGCTGGTCAGAGTTGATGGAAAGATGGATGGAGCCAAACAAAGGGCAATCTTAGAAGAAAACCTGTTAGTCTGCAAAGGACTTGAGACTGGGGCGCAGGTTCACCTTCCAGCAGGAAACAACCCTAAACATCCAGCCAAAGCTGTACTGGAATGGTTTAGAACAAAGCATATTCATGTGTTAGAATGGCCCAGTCAAAGTTCAGACCTAAATCCAATTAGGATTCTGCGATTTTGCAGAGAAGAATGGGCAAAAATGTCCCTCTCCAGATGTGGCAAAGCTGGTAGAGATATCCCCAAAAAGACTTGCAGCTTTAATTGCAGTGAAAGGTGGTTCTACAAAGTATTGATTCCGGGGGGCTGAATAGAAATGCACACCACACTTTTCACATATTTATTTGTAAAAACTTTTTGAAAACCATTTATCATATTCCTTCCACTTTTGTGTGCCACTTTTTGTTGGTCTATCACATAAAATCCCAATAAAATACATTTACATTTTTGGCTGTAACATGACAAAATGGAGAAAATTTCAAGGGGTATGAATACTTTTTCAAGGCACTGTATATTTGTGTGTCTTCTGTGTATAAAGATAAGATGACGGGTATACAGGATGTTGAAGACTTGTGGCTTATGACATTAAAAACATACAGTTATGCTCAAAGGTTTACATACCCTGGCATAAACCATGATATTTTGGCATTGATACTGAAAATATGAATGATCATGCCAAAAAAACTGTATTCTTTTCCATCTTTGTAAAGTTCCATTATCTTGTTACGCAGGTCTTTTGACAGTTCTTTTCTACTTCCCATGGTTCAGCATTTAGCCTGCTCAGTGCATTCTTGTAAGAGCTAACAAACTCATTGACTATCTCTACACAGATACTAATTGCAATTTAAAAAGCCATTGTTGTGGGAAATTAACCTTTAATTGCCATTTGAACCTGTGTGCGTCACCTTGTGTGTGTCTGTACCAAGGCCAAACATTCCAGGGTATGCAAACTTTTGATCAGGGCTATTTGGGTGATTTCTGTTATCCCTATGATTTTAAAAAGGAGCCAAACAACTATTTGATAATAAATGGCTTCATAGGATCACTGTGCTTAAATAAAAGACAGTTTTATGGCATGAGCAGTCATATTTTCAATATCAAAGCCAAAATTTCACGATTTCTGCCAGGGTATGCAAACTTTTGAGCACAACTGTATGTTGTAAATCTCTGCCTCTGATAGAAACAGATAAGTAAACAAAATATTTGTAGTTCGTGTCCATTTAATCAGATGTTTGTAATGCAATAGAGTAAGTGTGTATGCAGATGAACTGCAGATCATATAGTGATGGTATTTAAATGATTGCAGAAATGAAAAAGTATGTGCAAAAATGCCCTCGTCTGTATTGTTATTAACGTAATAGAGTGTGACGCGAGCAGGGACTGCGTTTCTCCAAATACAACCAGATGCTCTCCAGATCTGCTACATCAGTTGCTGACATGGTCATGACACGACGTGTACCATGCACTTTATTGTACTGTATAACTGGACAGATATTTAACATGGCACATGTGTTTCAGGGTAATCTGTGGATTGGTATGTTTAAACTGTCCCCATAGACGATAGCCTGCAGGCAGTCAACGTCCAGGATTAATGGGTAGACAAGCAGAAGCTACTGTAGGGTTTTTCATTAGCTTTTTAGAATGGAGCTACAGTATGTGTATGTTTTCTGCAGTGTCTTTATCAGGCTGTACATAAAACTACACCGATGATCCTTAACATTATGAACACTCACAGGTAAAGTGAATAACATTGATTATCGCATTACCATGGCATCTGAACATGGGTGGGATATGTTAAGCAGCAAATGAACATATGCCTGTAGTTGAAGAAGTTGAAGCAGAAAAAGTGGTCAAGCGTAAGAATTTCAGCGACTTTGACAAGGCCCAAACTGTAATTGCTAGATGACTGGGTCAGAACAACTTCACATCTGCAGCTCTTGTTAGCTGTCCCATATCTGCTGTGGGTCAGGACCTGGCAAAAGTGGAAAGGTAAACCAATGAACTGGTGATAGTCATGGGCAGTCAAGGCTCACTGATGCATGTGGGGAGCATAGGATGTCCAGTGTAGTTCAATCCAATAGAAGAGCTACTGTAGGTCAAATTGCTGAAACCGTTAATACTGGTTCTGAAAGAAAGGTGTCAGAACACCAGTGCATCACTGTTTGTTGCATATGGAGATGTATAACAGCAGGCTAGTCAGGAGACAAATGCTGACCCGTGTCCACAGCCAAAGCTTCTACAATGGGATGTGAGCATTAGAATTCAACCACAGAGCAATAGACAAAGGTGGCCTGGTCTGATGAATTCAAGAATGGTTTGAGGAACACAACAATGAGTTTTAGACGTTGACGTGGCCCTAATACTATAGCTCTAAGTCAAATCAAGCATTTGTAGGATGTTCTGGAAAAACAGATCCTATCTATGGAGGCCCTACCTCCCAATTCTGAGAGAGAGAGAGACAGAGACAGAGAGAGAGAGCGAGAGAGAGAGAGAGAAAATGAATACAGTAGGGGGTTGAGCAGCTACATGGCACATGAGGGTCAATACTTAAAGCAGAGCTCCACCCAAAAGGGGAAGTTCTGCTTTAAGCCTTTGTCCTCTGCTACCCATCAAGGATTGGCATCTTTGGGGAGCGGGAGCGAGTACCTGAACTTGACAGGTACCCGCTCCCACTTCCGCTGCGATCGCCTAGGCAATCGGAAGCAGAAGTTGCTCTCCCTCCCCGTAGTCTTCTGGGAAAAGACTACGGGCCATTCCCAAAGTGCAGAGCTTCTCGCCCATGCGCAGTGAGCACCCGGCTGTGAAGCCGCAAGCTGTCACAGCTGGGTGCCCACACTGAAGATGCCAGGGAGAGAAGACAACCGGTGAAACCAGCGGTGGTGAGGACACCGCTGGACTGAGGGATGGGTAAGTGGCTGTATTTTAAAAGTCAGCAGCTACAGTTTTTGTAGCTGCTGACTTTTATTTATTTTTTTTCAGGTGGAACTCCGCTTTAAGAATGTAAAGTTATGGACTTGTGTGTTAAAAATATACATGCAAAATAGACATTAGGAGGAGCTTCTCTGGGGAATACTTAGTGGAAAAGGATTAAGGGTTCCTTGTAGATCACAGATTTAGCATGCAATGTCAAGCTGCAGTTAACAAAGCAAGCAGAATACTATCATGAACTAAAGTGATCATAAAGGGTAAAATTTATTTTTTTTAAAAAAAATAAACATATCATACTTACCTTCTCTGGGTAATTGTTTTGCACACAGCAGCCCTGATCCTCCTTTTCTTGGGTCCCCCACTGGTGCTCCTGGCTCCTTCCCTCACCAAGTGCTGCCATAACAAGCCACTTGCTATGAGAGTACTTGTGCATGCTCATTCCCGAGCTGGCTCTGTGTGTACAAAAGACACACAGAGTGTGGCGTGTTCCCACTCCCCACTCCGTGCTTACTGGCTGTGATTGACAGCAGCAGGAGCCAATGGCTCCCATTGCTGTGTCTGAGTCAATGAGGAGAGGAGGAAGCGAGAGAGCCTCTACTCTCGTGCACATCGCTGGATTGAGATCGGAATCAGGTAAGTGTGAGGGGGGGTCTGGGAGAGCTGCTTGCGCAAGGTATTTTACCCTAATGCATGAAATGCATTAAGGTAAAAAGCCTTCTGCCTTTAGAACCACTATAAAAAGGTCATACATTTGAAAGATAAATTGATAAGTCTACCCCTTTATAATTACTGGTTCAGCATAACTTGAACATGCAGTCTCCAATCCTCAGGAAAGACAATGTTAAATTAGAAAAAGTAGTCCTCAAAGTAGATCTAAAGACAGAGGGAATATCATTATAATGTACAAATACACTCACTAGCCAGTACACCTGTTCAACTGCTTGGTAACACAAATTGCTAATCAGTCAATCACATGGCAGCAACTCAATACATTTAGGCATCTAGACGTGGTGAAGACAACTTGTTCAAACGGAGTAACAGAATGGGGAAGAAAGGTGATTTAAGTGACTTTGAACATGGCATGGTTGTTGGTGCCAAGACGGGCTGGTCTGAGTATTTCAAAAACTGCTGATCTACTGGGATTTTCACGCACAACCATCTCTAGGATTTACAGAGAATGGTCAGAAAAAGCAAAACTATCCAGTGAGTGGCAGTTGCATGAATAAAAATGCCTTGTTGATGTCAGAAGTCAGAGTAGAATGGGCAGACTGGTTCGAGATGATAGAAAGGCAACAGTAACTCACATAACCACTCATTACAACCAATGTATGAAGAATACCATCTCTGAATGTACAACACGTCAAACCTTGAAGCAGATGGGCTACAGCAGCAGAAGACCACACCAGGTGCCACTCCTGTCAGCTAGGAGCAGGAAACAGAGGCTACAATTCACACAGGCTCACCAAAATTGGACAATAGAAAATTGGAAAAAATGTTGCCTGGTCTGATGAGTTTTGATTTCAACTGCGACATTCAGATGGTAGGGTCAGAATTTGGCATAAACAACATGAAAGCATGGATCCATACTGCCTTGTATCAACGGTTCAGGCTGGTGGTGTAATGGTGTGGGGGATATTTTCTTGGCACACTTTGGACCCCTTAGTACCCACTGAGCATTGTTTACGTGCCACAGCCTACCTGAGTATTGTTGCTGTCCATGTCCATCCCTTTATGACTACAGTGTGCCCATCTTCTGATGGCTACTTCCAGCAGGATAATGTACCATGTCACAAAGCTCAAATCATCTCACACTGGTTTCTTGAACATGGCAATGAGTTCACTGTACTCCAATGGCCTCCACAGTCACCAGATCTCAATCCAATGGAGCACCTTTGTGATGTGGTGGAATGGGAGGTTCGCCTCATGGATGTGCAGCTGACAACTCTGCAGGAACTGCGTGATGCTATCATGTCAATATGAACCTGGATCTCTGAGGAATGTTTCCAACACCTTGTTGAATCTATTCCATGAAGAGTTAAGGCAGTTCTGAAAGCAAAATGGGGTCCAACTAGCAAGGTGTGTCTAATAGTGGCCGGAGAGTGTATATCAAACTAGAATAACTGTTATAAACTGTTTACTTTAAAGGATAAGTTCACCTTTGGAATATGTTACATGTTCCACCGGTATTTAAGGTTCCAGCTCCTGTCTCCTCTCCCCCTGATCGCCCCTCCCTGTGACACGAGCAGGGCCCTCCTAACTTTCTTGTCTAGAATTGTATTATAACTGTACTGTCTCTTTATATATTGTATGTTCTGTGCAAACTTGGAACTGTACAAATAAATAATGTATTATAATAGAAATAATAATGGCACATAATGAGTTACAAAGGTAAGTAAAAACTCTCGGTGTATACTACATAGTGGTACTTTAGTTTTCAGCCTCGTAGTTTTGGATGTTTAAGATTAAAGGAAAAACTAAAAATTCAGACATTCCTCTAAGAGGATTATTTAAAATAAAGAGCGGATTTTGCTATCTACAGGACACAGCAGTTTTTTTTCCTCTGCGTTATTTCTACATTTCACAAATAATTCATTAAATCCAGAGAACACTCCATGATAAAAGAGGTCAGTCACATGATTTTGACAGGTCATGCGAGCGGGATTTACTCCCTCTTTGTTTGATTTGGAAAAGCATATATCGCCAGCACAGCATGGATCTACAAAATAGCATCGAAATTTTATTAAAGCGATCATCACATCAGTATTGTGATGTTTCGGGGACATGCAGGACCCCTTCATCAGGCATTGTTTGCTTTGGAACAACTAAAGCGCAAAGCACATTTATTCGGCACAGCATTATTTATTTATTTACTTTTTGTACATTCACATTAAGTCCCTAACCCTCAAGGGGTGTACAATCTAAGGTCCCTAACTTACATTTCATATATAAGGGCCAATTTTTAGACAGGATCCAATGAACCTACCAGCATGTCTTTGGAGTGTGGGAGGAAACCGGAGTACCCGGAGGAAACCCATGCAGGCACAGGGAGAACATGCAAACTCCAGGCAGGTGGTGCCGTGGCTGGGATTTTAACCAACGACCCTAGTACTGCCAGGGGGAAGTGCTAACCATTTAGCCACTGTGCTGCCCACAGCATTGTGATTTATAAAATGTTTTATTATTTATTTACTTTTTTTTTTAAATATAAAGCAGCCACAGTGCTGTTTTGTAAATCTGCTAATTGCCACTAAAATTCAAAGTATCCTAACACTAAACGTGATCCACCCTTTAAGCGAATGCATAACACTGAACCTAGTTCATGAAACAAGCATTTAGACTAAACTAAGTATAGGCAGTCCAAACTGATCATATGCCCCAAACATATAGGGTGTTAAAAACTGCTGCGAAATATCAACATTTCCTGTAACAGTTAAAGCGGAGTTCCACAGTGCTGACTTTTAAAAAACAGCCACTCACCTATCCCATGATCCCGCGTTGCCCCCACCGCTGCCCGTTTCACCAGCCGTCCTGTATTAGTCCAGGCGCCGGCATCTTCAGTGTGGGCACCCAGCTGTGACAGCTTGTGGCTTCACAGCCGGGTGCCCACTGCGCATGCGCGAGTAGCGCTGCGCTTCCTGAATGGCCCCGTAGTCTTCTGGAACCTGTCATGTGTCTCACAAGAGGAGGGAGGGTAGGAGGACAACTTCAACTTCCGATCATCGTCAAATTCGGGTATTCCCATTCCCCCCCGCTCCCCAAAGGTGCCAATCCTTAATGGGGAGCGGGAGACCAATCTTTAAAGCGGAACTTCCTCTTTTGGAACTTTCCTCCACATCTTTTGGGTGGAACTCCGCTTTAAGTTTGGGACCTACCCAATACCACCTCCTGAGCCTCTGTCATGGCCATTTGGCCATTTCAAGATAGAATTTAAGAAGGTGGAGAAAGGGGGCAGCAAGGCTTTAATGTTTTTTTCTTTCTTTTCTTCATTTTAGGAATCCAGAAGAATACAATGCTAAAAGAAGAGTACAGATGATGAGTAAGACTTTGTTCACATAGGTAGCACTCTCCAATGCCCGCTGAACAGTAGTGTGAGGATGCTGCACACCTACAGCTCAATGTAAAATAAAAGTGAGAAACTACTTCAGATTTGGCTCCTCCTAGGCCACAGCACAGATGTGTTGCACCCTGGGGCAAAGCGTGCAGAGGGCGTGGCCTAGGAGGAGCCGAAGCTGAAGCTGTTTCTCACTATTATTTTACATTGAGCTGTGGTATGCGGTGTCCTCACACTACATGGACAGCATTCCTCCTGGATGAGAATTCTGAATGCCAACACCCTTTCAAGTAGTGGATCACCGGAATGGTAACATCCAACGCCAAACTATAAATGGTCACAGTGAGCCTTGCTGAATAGTGATCCATAGTAGAATGCTTTTTAGAGGGCGATAGAAAAAAGTGATGAGGTGATCTTGCCACTTTCTGCATACAGGGATTTTCTACTAAAATACAGCAATGCAGGCCTTTAGCGAATAGTTGTAAGCCCCATTACCTTGCATTGGACATGTTTGGTAGCAATACTATCTGCCATACTTGACATGATATGTAATTTTTGCTACACTATGACACAAAGCTTTGTGGCCTAAGCAATATATACTACCCCCTCCAGCTGCCATTGCACGGTTTAGGTGAGTGCTTGGGGGGGGGGGGGGGGGGGTAAAAAACACAGATCAACTACCTGTTTTCATTGTGCATACTATTAGAAAAAGTTATATTTTATTTAAAAAGCATTTATTGAGTTATCAGAGAGTTATAATACAGGGCATAGGAATGCAAGGGACGCATAGCGATGTTAGGCAAGAAAATGACAAAATATAGAAATAAACAGGTTAGCATAAGGAATATTTTAGATGGAATGATGGAAGGCAGATTTCTTTTACAGAGACTAACCCTAGATACATCCTGCGTAACTGGATGGCAGAATCAGCAGTTCGCAAGGCAGAGGGGAATGACTTTACAGAGGTGAGTTTGATATTTAATTGCTGCAATATGGAAACCAAAATAAGGAAAAGCAAAGCTGTAGCTTGTAGCAACCAGTCAGGCCAACTGTTTGTTAATCAAATCGTTTTAATGTTGGGGCAGGCACAAAGAAAATGTAAAATAATGATTAGCTTAGCAAACATTGAACCAGAAGCTGGGAATTTATTTTTATTTTATTTATTTCAGGTACTTATATAGCGCTATCAATTTATGCAGCGCTTTACATATATATTGTACATTCACATTAGTCTCTAACCCTCAAGGGGTGTACAATCTAAGGTCCCTAACTCACATTCATACATACACATACTAGGGACAATTTAGACAGGAACAAATTAACCTATCAACATGTCTTTGGAGTGTGGGAGGAAACCGGAGTACCTGGAGGAAACCCACGCAGGCACAGGGGGAACATTTACTAACATTTATAGGTAACGTTGATCCAGGGACTATCCGATTGCCTCTCGGGGATCAGGAAGGAATTTTATTTCCCTGCAGGAGTAAATTGGATCATGCTTTGCTGTTTTTTTTTGCCTTCCTCTGGATCAACTGTGGGTATAGGATTATAACTTTTTTTTTGTTGTAAATGGTTGAACTGGATGGACTATGGTCTTTTTTTCAGCCAGACTAACTATCTAACTATGTAACATGCAAACTCCTGGCAGGAGGTGCCATGGCTGGGATTTGAACCAACAACCCTAGTACTGCTTACTCTACTTAAGTACAAAAAAAGTTCTACTGGCAAGTAATGCATCTAAATTATTTAGATCATAAAGTTATTGTCAAGTTAACAGACACATGCTGACACTGCTGAATTTGATCTGGGAATGTAGATTTCAATTACCTTTGGCCATGAAGAGGTTAAAGGCTAAGTTCACCTTTTAGGACATGTTTGTAATATGTTTCAGTACAGCACCCCCCACCCCCCTTTACAGCGGGCTGGGATTCCTCTCCCCCTGCATCCACTGTCTCGCCTACACATCTGTGTCATTTATTCACAGTGAACTGTGAATGAAGAAACCACAAGTCTCCTCTGCCACCATGAAAGGCAGCTTGTAACTCTGAATGAACTACAAGCACGCTGATCAGCACCCTCCGCTGATCAGCACCCTCATAGTCCATTCATACTTCAAGCTCCTGCACCCTTCAGCTTTCTGTCTGTACCTCTCTATGGGCTTTCAGTGAGAAAGCTGGAGGGTGCAGGAGGCTGACATTGCACCTGCGATCCACTGCAATGCTTTGCAGGCTTCTGTAAATAATATACCGGTAATAAATGCACATTTTTTTACATCAAAAATATGTGCATTTATTATTTTTTTTCTAAGAGGTGAACTTATCCTTTTAAACAGAGTCATGAATGTGTTGGCATGCCTGTGAATATCAGCTGTTTGACAGTCCACCCCAAAAATATTTGTAGAAATTTTCAGAGAAGGCATTTATGACTTTATCAAACAGTCCTGCTGGGTTGCCTAGTAATTTGTTACAGAATGAGTATTGATTTGTACCACACATACTGCAGACTATAAAATCCATACACTGTTAAGGAATAATCTTGTTGATAGACCTGCAGGATATATATATATATATATATATATACACACACAGTCTATGTGGGCTGCAAAATACTAATTATACATCAAGCTGTGTTTGAAGAGAATACCATCATTTAAAAAATACATTTTTCACACAATACCTGATCACGCTGCAAAGAATGTGATGTATACAATATAGACATTGATGGGTCTATTTTTACAGTTTGAAGTTTGCCCTTTTTTGTTGTGACAGCTAATAATTACCTAGGAGTATAGTATTACTCATTGATGCACAATTTTGTATTGTGTGGGTTAAAAAAAAGACTATTTTCGATAAGTCATATACAAGATTTACTTTATGTTGGATGTGTATCTTCATCTCCAAAGAGGAGTAAAATACCTGCAGGATCTTTTCTACTACCTCTGGTGGTCATTACTAGTAGTAGTTATTGCTTACCATGACGCTCAGGTACTATTTGTCATGTTAATTCAATAAAAATTTTAATTTTTAACAGAGTCCGGTTCATAAGTTAATAACAAGCCCTTGGAAACAGTCAATGCAGAAAAGGAAACCAGGATTAGGACAAATTAAAAGCCCAACTCCAATCATCACCTTTTATTTTGTTAAGGATAGAGTTGGGAACATTTTTATTACGGTCTCTGTTTCTATTCGGAAACCTCACTTCCTGTCAGAAATGATGGGAAAGCTCTCCAGTGGGGATACAAAAAGAACATGTTTTTAGTGGAGTGGAGAAAAATTAGAACGTCTGACAATAATTTTATTTCGGTTCATGCCTTTTTATCTCTGAGACAATCATTCCCCCCACATCAGAGCTACAGGGGCAGGTTGAAAGGGGAAAATCCCCAATAGGGGGTGGGGGGTGTTGGGGGTGTCAAACTTTTTCATTCTTTCCCACTCTATCCAAAACTAAAAAAAAAAAGTTTAGCTGGAGTAAGGTGTCCAGCATCCCAGTTTGAAATGTGAATCCTGTATTCTGGCCATAGTGTTCGACCCTGGGCTACACTGTCAGCCGCTGTGCCTTTTCCTATATACCAACTTTGTTTAGTAAATACCAGCCAGCCTTAAAAATGAATGACAGGGCAAAATAAAAAATATTCAGTACATCTCTGCAGTACATGACCATTTCCCCTTGTTTTATCCCTGTGAAGATCAAATTTTTAAGTATATGGGGTCTCAAGTGTGATGTCTGACATCAACAAAGGATGGCCCATAATGTTCATTGAAGGTAATGCTACAGAAAGCTGTCAGAGACTGCTGAATGGCAACTCAAGATGGTCAGATGCTGCAGACATACTATAGAAGTTGTTGGAGACTGAGTGTGCTTATGGAGACTGTTGGAGTTTGGAGACACGCTACATATAACTGTGGATCATTGCTGAAATAACCATTTAATTAGTTAGTGCTTCTGCATGTATGCTCCCTACAGCACCCTTAATAATAACTTGTGCCGTACTTGATATTTGTCTCAGCAAGATCCATTCTAAAAGATCAGCAGAGCACAAAGGAGCACAGACAGCATAGAAGGTGAGATAGTGTGATAGAAATAAAGCAAACCTTTTAACTGCAAGAAGCCATTCTGAAAGGATACGTTCACCTTTAGGAGCATGTTACAGTATAACAAAGTGCTTTCAATGGTATATTTAACAGACCAAAGGGTAACAAATTAGAGAAATTCATTGTTACCCCTGGTTCACATATATGCGACCGTGCGGGCCGCGTTTTGCACACGCATGAGAGCCCATTCATTTGAATGGATTCCCGTACGCAGGACACGCAGGGAAGAAGTCCCTGAACTTCTTTGGAAACCGCAGCCTAAACATGAACCTCGGTTCCCAGTACGGTTGCGATTTCCAGTGCGGGCTGCGTGCCATTAGAATTAATGGTTCCCTCCTGCGGGTCCACATTATTCTGTGTGGGTGGTGCGGCTGCAAGGATTTTTGTGCGGATCTGCAGTGGCACCACCTGCCAGGCGCGGACTGACAACTCATGGGGCCCCTGGGCAATAGAGGATCATGGGGCCCCTGTGTCCTTGCCCACACTCAAAAAAGCCTATAAAAAAGGTACCAGGGGCATTTCATGGGGCCCCCTACTGACCCCGGGCCTTTGGGCAGTGCCTGACTTTCCAAATGGTCAGTCCACCCCTGTCACCTGCACATACAGTTGCAAGAAAAAGTATGTGAACCCCTTTGGATTACGTGGAGTTTTGCATGAATTGGGCATAAAATGTGCTCTGAACATCATCTAAGTCACAACAATAGAAGAACACAGTCTGCTGAACATAATACTACACAAACATTAGATGTTGCCATGGTTTAATTGCACATAACATGTAAACATGCACAGTGCAGGGAGGAAAAAAAGTATGTGAACCTTTGGACTTAATAACTGGTTGACCCTCCTTTGGCAGCAATAACCTCAACCAAACATTTCCTGTAGTTGCAGATCAGACCTGCACAACGATCTGGAGTAATTTTGGACCACTCCTCTTCACAAAACTGTTTCAGTGTAGCAATATTCTTGGGATGTCTGGTGTGAATCACTCTCTTAAGGTCATGCCACAGCATTTCAATCGGGTTGAGGTCAGGACTCTGACTGGGCCACTCCAGAAGGCGTATTCTGTGCTGTTGCAGCCATTGTTTTGTTGAATTACTTGTATGCTTTGGGTCATTGTCCTGTTGCATCACCCATCCTCTGCGGAGCTTCAGTTGGCAGACAGATGGTCGTACGTTTTCATGCAAAATGTCTTGATAAAATCTGGAATTCATTTTCCCATCAATAACAACAATCCGTCCAGGCCCTGAGGCAGCAAAGCAGCCCCAAACCATGATGCTCCCTCCGCCATGTTTTACAGTGGGGATGAGGTTTTGATGTTGGTGTGCTGTGCCTTTTTTTCTCCACACATAGTGTTGTGTGTTCTTCCCAAACAACTCAATCTTGGTTTCATCTGTCCACAGTATATTTTGCCAGTAGTGCTGTGGAACATCCAGGTGCTCTTTTGCAAACTTCAAACATGCTGCAATATTCTTTTTGGACAGCAATGGCTTCCTCCGTGATGTCCTCCCATGTACTCCATTCTTGTTTAATGTTTTCCTTATTGTAGATGTGTCAACAAAAATGTTATCATGTGCCAGAGATTTCTGTAGGTCTTTAGCTGACACTCTGGGATTCTTCTTTACCTCATGCAGCATTCTGCGCTGTGCTCTTGCAGTCATTTTTACAGGACGACCACGCCTAGGGAGAGTAGCAACAGTGCTAAACTTTCTCCATTTGTAGACAGTCTGTCTTACCGTGGACACATGAACATCAAGGCTTTTGGAGATACTTTTGTAACCCTTTCCAGCATCATGCAAGTCAACAATTCTTGATCGTAGGTCTTCTGAGAGCTCTTTTCTGCGAGGCATGGTTCACATCAGACAGTGCTTCTTGAAACCAGTAAACCCAAAACAGGTGTGTGTTTTTTAAGGGCAGGACAGCTGTCAGCAACACATCCAATATCATCACACTGATTGGAGTCAAGGTTGGCTCACTCCTGGCTCCAATTAGCTCTGCGAGAAGTCATTAAGCTAGGGCCTCACATACTTTTTCCTCCCTGCACTGTGAATGTTTACATGTTATGTGCAATTAAACCATGGCAACATCTAATGTTTGTGTAGTATTATGTTCAGCAGACTGTGTTCTTCTATTGTTGTGACTTAGATGACGTTCAGAGCACATTTTATGCCCAATTCATGCAAAACTCCACGTAATCCCAAGGGGTTCACATACTTTTTCTTGCAACTGTATGTGAACCTAGCCTTAGGGTTTGCATACACTTTAAAGGAGTTTCCTTTTTCCTGCAGATTTCATGCATTCATATGATCGATCACTCTAAACACATCCATTCCCAACTCATCACAGGTTTTGGTTTCTTTCTACAGAGACCTTCTTCCCCTAACTTCCCCAGACGATGACAAGCAGAACAACAAAATATATCAGTCACATATCAGTAATCCATCAATGGGACTGATTTTATAGCTTCAGGATGTCTCATGCTTCCTGATAAAGGAAGCCAAACAGAGATAAGGAAAAGAGCTGACCAGATGGGGCTCCAAGATGCAGATACTGTATAAAAGCAGAGTTCCTGCTGTGTAATTGTGTAATAATAATCAAGTTAAATGCGTAAACATCAATTTAAAGTGTATGCAGTATCTCTGCAATACATACACATGATTCCATGTTTTGTCTTTTGCAAGCATTGGAATGGGGACAAATGCCTGTTGATCTCCCAAAAATTCTGGGTGCTTGAAACTTCTTGTGGTGAGCTGTCAACACAGTGCTTCTGCTGAATTGAAATCTCAAGAAGTGTTGTTAGCTCTGCCAGAGTTGCCTCCTGTTGGACTACAGGACGTTGCCCCCTCTGATTATCTCCATAAAATAAGAGGAGGTGTTTTATAGTCAAGCACAGAAAAAAGGAAAAGTCCTCTACTTGGTGGGACTTTAAAGGCAAGAGCTAGCAAGTTAAGAAACTAATGAATCAGCAGTTAAAGCACAACACTCGTGTCTTTTTTAAGAATGTATAAAATAAAACTAACAAGTTGAAATACATAAATTATGGTGGTAACTGTCAAAGGATGTGTAACTTAATACTGATAGTGGAAGATCTGTCATGCAAATGTTGCACCTAAAAATTGTATGACCGAACTTCCACTCTCAGTATTAAGTCACACATATTAAGTCCTTTGACAGTTACCACCATCATTTATGTATTTCAACTTGTTATGTCTTTTTTAAGAATGTATAAAATAAAACTGAGTTATGTTTTAACTACTGATTCGTTAGTTTATTAACTTGCTAACTCATGCCTTTAACCACTTGCCTACAGGGCACTTATACCCCCTTCTTTACCAGGCCAATTTTCAGCTTTCAGCGCTGTCGCACTTTGATTGACAATTGCGCGGTCATGCAAGATTGTACCCATATGAAATTTGTATCATTTGTTTCTCACAAATAGAACTTTCTTTTGGATCGTATTTAATCGCTGCACAGGTGGGCGCACTGCTGGGCACAGGTGGGCGCACTGCTGGGCACAGGTGGGTGCATTGCTGGGCACAGGTGGGCGAGACTTGTGTGTGGCACTGCTGGGCACCGATCATCAGGGCACTGGTGATCTGGTGGCACTGGTGATCAGTGACCCTGATGATCGGTGCCAATCCCCGCTCTGACAACTGCCGGTTTTCGGCAGTACTTTCCTCACGATCTGACAGCGTGAGGAAAGTGCAGCCGAGAACCGGCATTTGCATTTTCCCGGTGATCAGCGTGTCATTGGACACGGCTGATCACGTGGTAAAAGGCCGCTGTGATTGGCCTTTTACCACGTCACGTGATCATTCGGCTATCTGCAGTCGGCAATTAGTTAAAGTCCCACCAAGTAGAGGACTTTTCCTTTTTTCTATATTTATAGGGATGTTGGCACCCCTTGTACTGTACCCCCCCCCCCCCTTCTGTAGTCCAGCACAGGTGTACTTAGGGAAATAAAGTCCTGGGTTCATTCCCCAGCGAAATAATTTTTAGAAAACTCCATTTGATGGAGTTTATTATATTCACACAACTTGTTGTGCGGGTTTCCTCCTTTTCATCCAGCTTGCTCCAACATCTACTATTGGAGAAAAAGTAATAAAATAAAATCTGGGAAAAAAATAATACACATGATTATTCAAGAAGCACAGTGGCTAAATGTTTAGCACTTGAGCCTGGCAGTACTAGGGTCCTTGGTTCGAATCCCAGCCACTACCTGCCTGGAGTTTGCATGTTCTCCCTGTGCCTGCGTGGGTTTCTAACCACTTCAATACTGGGCACTTTTACCCCCTTCCTGCCCAGGCCAATTTTCAGCTTTCATGCTGGCAGGTTAATTGGATCCTGTCTAAATTGGCCCTAGTATGTGTATGTATGAATGTAAGTTAGGGACTTTAGATTGTACGCCCCTTGAGGGTTAAGGACTGATGTGAATTTACAATATATATGTAAAAGTGCTATGTAAATTGACGGCGCTATATAAGTACCTGAAATAAAAAAAATAAATAAAGAAGCAAATTATACCTTTGCCAAATATTGCCTGGCTGGTTGTACACAAGTCGATCGATAGATCAACTTGTGTACAGCTATGGTGTCCATACATTATTATTATACAGTATTTATAAAGCGCCAATAGTTCGCTCAGCGCTGTACATTACAAAGGGGGACAGAACATGTGATAGAACAATAACAATACAATGCAAAACATGAGGGGATCGGGGGCCCTGCTCTTTTGAGCTTATAATCTAGGAGACATGGATCAAAATTTGGCCTGTCCCTGAACAGGCCTGATTTTGATCCATGTTCAGTATGGCTGGCTTTTACTCTTGAAATATGATTGGTTGATATGGATATAGAGTCACTTGTGAGCCACTGGAGTTTGTTTCCTATATTCAAATATTAATAGATCGCAGGCTCCCTTTCACATCCTCATATATATGTGCAATTAAGGGACAAAGGTTATAGTATTAGGGTGCCACGCTCTAATATTGTATAAACCTGATTATTATATATAAATAATAATTTTAATAAACCTGGTGATTGAATTCTTCATGGTCATTATTAGACAAGTGCATGAAATATCAAAACGTGATAACCAGTGAATAACCAATCAATTATAAATCCTATTAAAAAAATCCAAAAATAATTTTTTACAATGTGTCCAATAAATTTAAATCAAAATGAATAAAGGAAATACTGTGAAAAACAAAAAGTGTTAGAAAAGTCTCCAAATAATGTGAAAGAAAAAAAAAAAGTTTTTTGAAAAAGTATATCCAAACGATAGTGAAAAAATAATAATAAAATGTTATTGGAATTATATATGAAAAGTCCTGTGAGTGTTCCAAAAGGCAATATACTCTCCTTCTAATCAGCCTAAAGCTGGATATATGCTGCAATCTGATCCTCTGTAATGCGACCAGCTGTTGATCGTATAGCCGTGCAGATCACTCCCTTCTCAGTCTCCTCTATCCAGTTTTCTATAAATCCAGCGATGATGCCAGTAGGGGATGTAGGTTTAGTCCATGACATGTGTTGCAGGTATAATGGCTGGTTTCCTCTCCCTCAGTACTTAAGATTGAGTCTGAGCTCCCAGGATGCACCTGTTTTTTTTTTTTTATTTTTAAAAAAGAAAAATAAAGAAGAAAATTATACCTTTGCCAATATTGCCAGGCTGGTTGTACACAAGTCGATCGATAGATCAACTTGTGTACAGCTAGGGTGTCCATACATTATTATTATTATTATACAGTATTTATAAAGCGCCAATAGTTTGCTCAGCGCTGTACATTACAAAGGGGGACAGAATATGTGACAGAACAATAACAATACAATGCAAAACATGAGGGAATTGAGGGCCCTGCTCTTTCGAGCTTACAATCTAGGAGACATGGATCAAAATTCGGCCTGTCCCTGAACAGGCCTGATTTTGATCCATGTTCAGTATGACTGGCTTTTACTCTTGAAATATGATTGGTTGATATAGTTTGCTGACCGTGATGTTTCTTTGTACACTAACATTAAACGCACCTATTTGTGATGAACACAGGTTCGTCTACTGCAGAGAGTTTTTACGTCGGCCCTTTCACAGGCAGGAGATGGCAGAACATGCTGGGTACTCCCACAAACCTCCAGAATGGGCTAAAAACCTAAAAGTAAGCTGCTCGTCATAATTCAGAGTCAAGCACACAGTTCTTTCAACCAACACTAATTAAAATTTCATACGCACTCTCCTTCTCTTGGTTTATTTATTCTAGAAGTCGAATTTCTGCTGTGTTTTTCCTACTACATGTTAAAGAATAATAACTAACATCTCAGCGGCTGCTATTGGGAATATCCCTAGTTTTCCTTTATAACAATTTAGATAAATGATCCCCAGTGTATTTCTGCCTAAAAATACAGCACAATTTTATGCAGACAATGGCCTTGGGCAGCCCTGGTTGATATCAGTTATGCCAAAAGATAATTTCTTTGGAAATTCAAACGTCCTGTAATTACTGCCATTAATTATGGTGCCAGAACACAGCTGTCTGAGCAGGTCTGTGCTAATTTGGAGCAGGTGGCCTTCATAGGTGTAGCCAGCCCCTTCCAGCCTCCGGTGTTAATACAACAAACCGTGTTGCATGCTAGCTTCGCTCTCTTAGCTTGATTGGTTTCACCTTGTGTTTCATTTACAGATAGCACTTAATTTTCTTGTACGTTATGAGATTCTGCGGTGTAGAAGCGTTCCACAGTAAATCACAAGCAAAACATGTATTCATCTCTGTCCATTTAAGCTTGGGAGGTCCTGGATCAGCTTACTACACATGTGATGGTGCACATCAAAATGAATAGGTTGTTCTGTTGTGTGAAAGAAACAAGAAAATCCAGCGCAAGAGCCCATAGTGTAGTATTAATAAAAACAATGACTTTATTAGAAATAAGGTTAAATGCACTCAAAAACATGGCAGGCTGGAGGGCACATAGATAACCAAACTCCTCAGTCCAATGGTGTCACCCAGATTGATGTAAGCCTCTGATTGTCTGGACTACATGGAGATGTTGTGTGGAAGTTCCGGCTGCTGTCAGTGGAAGGCCTACCTCCTCAATGACGTGGTGATGTGGCAAAGTGCCTATAGGAGGAATGTGTTTCGGGGGAATCCCCTTTCTTCTACTACTTGTGGCCACTTTTCTAGCTGGCAGCGCTCTTATATGCAAAGGCAGTGGTGTCCCAAGGCAGGTACGGGGGGTGCGCGCCGTACCGGGTGTGTCAAGGTCCTACCTTTTCCCAGAGGTTATGCTGAGCTATGTGCTGGCATCCATCTTGGATTTCTGCAGAGCATGGTGGGAGTCTTTTATGCCTTCAGGCCTCTGCGGTCCATCCCCCAGAGGGGTGTGGTTGATCACATATAAGCCTGTTGTCCTCAGGTGCCCTTTGCATTTGCATTTGTGTCTTGTGTGTTAGTGTGATTATAGCTCTGTTTATACTCTCGTGGCTCTCCTGGAATCTGGCTTGGCTTTTGACTGACCATTCTCTGTGGTTTCCATTGATCTGACCTTCTGTTGCTGAACCCGGCCTGTGACCTGTTATTCTTGTCTACCGTTCTGTACCGTTTGTCCCATTGTTATCGACCCGGCCTGCCCGACTACTCTTTGTCTATCTGGTCCCTACCATTGACGGCGGCCATTACCGCAGCTGGGGTGTCTCGGGGGCCGCGACCTGGTTCCTGGCTGCGTCAAGTCCATCCCCACCATCAGGGGCCCTGGTGAAGGGCAGCCTGGGACTTAGACTCCGCACCCTGAGGGACTCCGGTCTGTGGGTGGTGGTTGTCGTCAGTCAGTGTGTGACCCTGCCCTGACAGGGTGACACCTACCGCATGGGGTGACACCGGACCCACTCCACGAAAAGGTCAGTTGTAAAGCAATCCGACGATCCCCGCAGGATGGATTGGATGTGTGGATTGTGGAGCATAATGGATCGGACTCCGATCCATTATGTTCAATCTGCAGATCCGAACCATCCTGCGGGGATCGTCGGCATGCAACCTATACGGGGTGACACCGGACTTGCTCCACAAAAAGGTAAGTTGTAAAGCAAACTGATGATCCCCGCAGGATTTGATCAGATCTGCGGATTGGGGAGCATAATGGAATCCGAGTACGATCCATTATGCTCAATCCGCAGATCCGATCCATCCTGCGGGGATCACCGGAGGGGGTGTTACTGCACCGGTTAACACCAACCCTATGGACGCCACTGTACAAAGGTATTGCTGTTAGTGTCACCAGTGCTCACATGGTTTATAAAGCCGCATATTTATGCATTTTCCACATGATCTTTAGCTGTGTTTGTGCATACTGAGTGTCGCCTCTCGGCAAACAGCACTAGTTTCGATAACAGCAATACCTTTGAGTATAACAGTGCCACCCATACATTTTTACATGTGTTTCCAACAATTATGCATTTTTCATACACTGCTGTTCTCATCAAGAGGCTCTATGATTATTGTCAATGTATCACAAAACAGACAACGCACTTAAAGTGGAACTACACGGCATCTGAGCACCTCAAACCAAAACCGCTATTTAATTTCTTTTTAATATTCAAAGCAAACTCCCCCATCCACCTATGTCTCCATGTTTTATTATGCTGAGAAAACGCTTTGAAAAACACCCCCTAGCATTTCTGGCCATGGGCATCTTGAGTAAGTGCCGGCTCAGGCTGGAATGTGGTGCGTGGAACCCACATTCTGTGCGTGTTTCCCATACTGTGTTCCAAATGCACTGGGTGTGCGATCTGCTCTGGGTGTCTCTAGATTCCCAGTGATACCCCAAACGCAGATCACAAATGCAGTGCACCAGATCACATGGTACTGTGCAGTTCCATGCAATCTGGTTGCAGTGTATGCGTTACTTTTGGTGTGATCCAGAGCTATTTCAGCATGTTCTGTGCGATTCCTGGTGTGGATCATCACTCAGGGCAGATGATTTGTGTAGCATTTACTTCCTGGAATCCATTTTCCTGTAGCTCAGGCATGCAGGCAGGTATGCTTAGCTGAGAAAACGCCTCTTGAAGACTCCTGGGATGTATTACACCATTAGCTTAGGGCTGGAAACCAATAAGTAACTGAAGAAATGTAAAAAAGGTTTAAAACAAGTAAATATGATATACTTTCCTTCTTACTAATGTTAGTAGCATAAGGATTACAAATAGTTAAAGTGGTTCTGAAGGCTCAAAGTTTTTTACTTTTTTGCATTCTATACAGTTGCAAGAAAAAGTATGTGAAACCCCTTGGGATTACGTGGAGTTTTGCATGAATTGGGCATAAAATGTGCTCTGAACGTCATCTAAGTCACAACAATAGAAGAACACAGTCTGCTGAACATAATACTACACAAACATTAGAAGTTGCCATGGTTTAATTGCACATAACATGTAAACATTCACAGTGCAGGGAGGAAAAAGTATGTGAACCTTTGGACTTAATAACTGGTTGACCCTTCTTTGGCAGCAATAACCTCAACCAAACGTTTCCTGTAGTTGCAGATCAGACCTGCAGAACGATCTGGAGTAATTTTGGACCACTCCTCTTCACAAAACTGTTTCAGTGTAGCAATATTCTTGGGATGTCTGGTGTGAATCGCTCTCTCAAGGTCATGCCACAGCATTTCAATCGGGTTGAGGTGACTCTGACTGGGCCACTCCAGAAGGCGTATTCTGTGCTGTTGCAGCCATTGTTTTGTTGAATTACTTGTATGCTTTGGGTCATTGTCCTGTTGCATCACCCATCCTCTGTGGAGCTTCAGTTGGCGGACAGATGGTCGTACGTTTTCCTGCAAAATGTCTTGATAAACTCTGGAATTCATTTTCCCATCGATGACAACAATCCGTCCAGGCCCTGAGGCAGCAAAGCAGCCCCAAACCATGATGCTCCCTCCACCATGTTTTAAAGTGGAGATGAGGTTTTGATGTTGGTGTGCTGTGCCTTTTTTTCTCCACACATAGTGTTGTGTGTTCTTCCCAAACAACTCAATCTTGGTTTCATCTGTCCACAGTATATTTTGCCAGTAGTGCTGTGGAACATCCAGGTGCTCTTTTGCAAACTTCAAACGTGCTGCAATATTCTTTTTGGACAGCAATGGCTTCCTCCGTGGTGTCCTCCCATGTACTCCATTCTTGTTTAATGTTTTCTTTATTGTAGAGGTGTCAACAAAAATGTTAGCATGTGCCAGAGATTTCTGTAGGTCTTTAGCTGACACTCTGGGATTCTTCTTTACCTCATGCAGCATTCTGCGCTGTGCTCTTGCAGTCATTTTTTACAGGACAACCACGCCTAGGGAGAGTAGTAACAGTGCTAAACTTTCTCCATTTGTAGATAGTCTGTCTTACCATGGACACATGAACATCAGGGCTTTTGGAGATACTTATGTAACCCTTTCCAGCTTCATGCAAGTCAACAATTCTTGATCGTAGGTCTCCTAAGAGCTCTTTTCTGCGAGGCATGGTTCACATCAGACAGTGCTTCTTGAAACCAGTAAACCCAAAACAGGTGTGTGTTTTTTAAGGGCAGGACAGCTGTCAGCAACACATCCAATATCATCACACTGATTGGAGTCAAGGTTGGCTCACTCCTGGCTCCAATTAGCTCTGGGAAAGTCATTAAGCTAGGGTCTCACATACTTTTTCCTCCCTGCACTGTGAATGTTTACATGTTATGTGCAATTAAACCATGGCAACATCTAATGTTTTGTGTAGTATTATGTTCAGCAGACTGTGTTCTTCTATTGTTGTGACTTAGGACGTTCAGAGCACATTTTATGCCCAATTCATGCAAAACTCCACGTAATCCCAAGGGGTTCACATACTTTTTCTTGCAACTGTACATGAAGGTAAAAAATCTTCTCTGTGCAGTATTCTCCCCAGCCCCCCTAATACTCACCTAAGCCCCCTCTTGATCCAGCAATGTGCACTGGAGTCTTGGCTATTCCTGAGACAGCTGCTGTCAATCACAGCCAGTGAGCCAATGAGAAGAGAGAGGGGTGGGGCCGAGCAGCAGCTCTGCGTGTGGATGGACACACGAAGCAGCAGCTGGGGAGTACGCATGTTTGGGTGCCCCCATAGCAAGCTGCTTTCTATGGGGGTACCCGACAGAAAGGAGGGGCCAGGAGCGCCTGCAGGGGACCCGAGAAAAGG